CTGAGAAGGCTAGTGTGTGAAAAGGGCAGGCAGCGTTATTCAAGTGAATAGGCTGGACAAAAGAATTATTGATGTCCTGGGTAGGACAGAGAAGAATGGCATGAGATTTAACATGCTCCACAGAATAGTGAATAATTTAAAACTTCTGAATTATTTACCCTGGCATTTTCCATTTGATATATTCCATCCTTGATTGACCATAAAGAACAGAACCTGCACATAATAAAACTGCAGACAATAGGGATGATGGCACTGAATGCACATTTGATATAAAGTTATATTTATTTTTATATAACTGTGCCCTCTGAATAAGTTTAGATAGAAGAAAAAGTATATATTTGAAATTTTCTTTTATATTAGCCTTCTTATTTATAACTCCAGGCACTCCTCATTTGCTCTTGAAAATGAATTATCATCTTACTTAAATCGATTCAGACCCTACACATCTTCTCTGTGCTGCTACAGTGGAATGTATTCTTTTTACACATTATATAGGCACCACAATACAATGATACACATATCGATTATGTAATTGCCTTTTGAATCTACTACTGAGAAAAAACATGCATTGCTACTGTTTTTATGAATTACATAAGTCCTTGAATCCATACTCCTTCAGAAGAGGGTTTCAAATTATTGCCAGAAGTCTCTTGCTTTCAACATAAAAAAACTTTATTTACTGTTAAGGTAAATCAGCTAACAAACAGATCCCTCTTTCTTTCTCTTTCTTTCTTTCTTTCTTTTGAAAATCTCTTTTTCTAACCTTCACTTTGATAGTTTGGCTAGATATAAGAATCATAGTGACATTTTTTTTTTTTCTAGTAGCACTCTGACTATGCCTTTAGGCATCTGCAGTTTGTGATGTCAAGTCAGCTCTTCATCTTACCAGGTTTCTCTTTTCTCTGATGAGTTGTTTGCCCCTTGTGTGTTTTATTATTTTGTCTGTCTTTCATAACTTTTACCAAGATGGTTCTTGTATATTTAATTGTACTCATTCTACTTAAATTTCCTTGAGCTGGATGTGCAGATTGATATTTATCATTGAATATGTTTGAGAATACTCAACCATTATTTCTTTTAATGCTTTCCCTGCCTCTTTTCTCCATGCTCTACTTTTATATTTCCCACTATGTTATATATAGAGATTCTTTCTTCTGAGAATTTCAATACCGTATTTTCCGGCATATAAGACGACTTTTGAAAGGAAAAAAAGTCAACCGAAAATTGGGGGCAAAAGACCAAAATTGCACAAAAATTACCTGCAGATCTTGATGGCAAAGTAAGTCGCTTCTTTGAAGTGGGAGGTAGTCTTATACAGCGAATATAGGCTATGTTTTAACATAGCCTATACATAGCTTATACAGCGAATATAGGCTATGTTTTAACATAAAATTAGGGGGTTGTCTTATACGCCGGAAAATACGGTATATTCCTGAGTTTTCCATTGCATTTAACCTTACAGTTATTGGAATTTCATTGCCAAAACTGTCAGTGTTTTTATTTTCATACTAGAGGCCCGATGCATGAAATTTGTGTATAGGGGAAGGAGGGATGTCCCTCAGCTCAGCCTGTACCCTTTCCAATCTGTGACCCCTAAACGGGCAGTCAGGCATCCCTCTCACAATCCAGGACTGCTGGATCTCAATTGCTGGCTTGCCTGCCTGATTGCCCCTAACTGCTTCTGCCTGCCAGCCTGATCACCCCCTAACCACTCCCCTGTCAGCCTGATTGACATCTAACTGTTCCACTACCAGCTCAGTTGCCCCTAACTGCCCTCCTCTGCCAGCCTGGTCACCACTAACTATTCTCCCTTGCAGGCCTTGCCTCCCCAACTGCCCTCCCCTGCTGGTCCAGTCATTTTTAACTGCCCTCCCTTGCCAGCTTGGTAATCCCTAAATGCCCTCCCGTGCCAATCTGGTTGCCCCCAACTGCCCGCCCCTACAGGCCTACTCTCCTCCAAATGATCTCCTCTGCAGGCCTTGTCACTCCCAACTACCCTTCCCTGCAGGCCTGGTCTCCCTCACTGCCCTCCTCTGCAGGCCTGGCCACCCCCAACTGCCTCCCTTGCAGTCCTGGTCCCTCCTAACTGCCCTCCCCTGCTGGCCATCTTGTGGTGGCCATCTTGTGTCCACATGGGGACAGCCATATTTAACCACATGGGGTGACCAACTTATGTGTTGGAATGACAGTCAATTTGCATATTATTCTTTTATTAGATAGGATATCATTCCATCTCTTTGTTGATATTTTTCTTCCATGAAAACATGACATCTATTTCTCTTCTGTTTTAAGCATGGGTTTTGTTGCATAAAATATTTATAATTTATAGAACAAACTATAAGGACAATAGACACAAAGATTTTTTAGTGTCTGCTTTTATCCTGTCTAGAGTTCATATTTGATATTTCTTTGCATGTTTTCATGTGTTTTGTGGTAATACCTGTGCATTCTTGGAAATGTGTTGTAGCAAATCTTGGTACTCTGCCCCCCTCACACCCTCATTTGAAGCCTTTTTTGTCATTGTGTGTTTAGTCATTTATTGAGTGATTAGGTTGTGTTATATAATATTTTACTTAAGTGTCCTTTCATATGTGTTTCACCTTCTAGTGTTGTTCCTCTTTGGGCATGAATTTGGGGCATTAACACTATCACCTTTGGATGACTGGTATTTTGAAAGACTCCTTTTTACCATCTTCCCTAATTGCTCTCTTAAACTGCCTATTTCCTTTGCTACCATATAAAAAATGGAGACACAGTGCATTAGCCACTGATCTGCCAGAACAAGCAGCAGTAATTTACACTCTCACCTGTACTAAAAAGGAAAAAACTCAGGTGGCACCATCACCTAAGACAGTGGTCAGCAAGCTGTGGCTCACGAGCCACATGTGGCTCTTTGGCTCCTTGAGTTTTTAGCAAAGGCCAGTTTAGAATACCCAAATTAAGTTAATAACAATGTACCTACCTATATAGTTTAACTTAAAAAAATTTGGCTCTCAAAAGAAATTTCAGTCTTTGTGCCGTTGATATTTGGCTCTGTTGACTAATGACTTTGCCGACTACCGACCTAAGATATTAGAAATGTTCCTGGTATTGTAATTACATAAAGGGTATTAATAAACAATGCAATGTCTGTTTTCTAAATTCCTCTTCTAATCCCTTTCTTATGGTAGCTTTTCTGCAGTTGAAAATATAAAGCAAATAATGAGTTGGGTCTGAAAAATAAAGTGATTAAAATGACATTTTAATGGTTTCCATCAAGCATATTCCAAGCTTTCAATAGCAATGGATTTTTGTGAATTCACTTTAAAGAGATGAGTTCTAAAACATGTATGATAATCTTATTCCCCATTGATGGTAACTACTAGAGTTCTACTTACTGTAAGAAGAAGTTATGGGGATGTTTTATTATGTAAAATAGCACATAAGTACTTTGGTCATTGAAGGTCTAAACTTAAATAAACTTCTGGGAAGATAAATAAACCATAAGCAGACTTGAAATATTCTTGTTCTTACCAGCAAAGTACATTAGTTGTGCCTTGGCTCCCCCCTTTATTATTTCTCTTGCAAAAGCACCTGATAAGTGTTCTGTATCAGTCTCTATAGAAATTAGTAGTTTTAAATCAGTTTTATAATGTAAACATTAACATGTGTGTGTGTGTGTGTGTGTGTTGGTTTCCATGTGTAAGTGTGTTTAGGTCTAGTATTCCTAGTATTAGCAATTACAGTTAAAAGATTATCCTTAAATGTCTGTATTTATGAAATAAACACCTTAGAATTGTTAGAGTCATTAGCCATTAAATAAATCTCATTGCACTGAGGTATATACATGTTCCATGATTTGAACAAGATGGCATATCAGCTAATTATAAAATTTTAATCACAAACTGATGCCTCATAAGTATTTTGCAAATTTAAATCATCTAGAGTGCTTTTCTTATAAACATAATTTTCATGTGAAAATAAAAAATAAAAATAAAAACTCTATGCCAAAACTGGTTTGGCTCAGTGGATAGAGCATCAGCCTGCGGTCCCAGGTTCGATTCCGGTCAAGGGCATGTACATTGGTTGTGGGCTCATCCCCAGCAGGGGATGTGCAAGAGGCAGCTGATCGATGACTCTCTCTCATCGATGTTTCTAGCTCTCAATCTCTCTCCCTTCCTCTCTGTAAAAAATCAATAAAATATATTTAAAAAAAACACACACACACAATCTTACACATTTATATTGGAAGGATATACCTGGTGGTGTGGGTCTAAACAATTTTTCTCAGGTCAAATTGCAATCTATGATGATAATAGTCATAGAACCCATCTATGAGGCAGAAATTCGTAGTCTTATTCATGATTAAATCCATATCCTTGCCCTTGTTTTGTTATGTATGTGTAAAATAATTAGTCATTAGCTTGCTTTGAAGATAACAGGTAATTTATTGACAGAGGTAAAGCTATGTCCTTTCAAGTTTTATAAGCATGTAGATCTTCTATTTGGGGAGGGAAAGTGGATAATTTACAATAATGTGAGCATTGGTATTGTGTCCCTTTCCATTTGAATTTTTAGATGATTTCACCTTTTGTTGGCTTTGGAAACTACCCTTTAGAGCCAATGACAGCAGAAGTATAATGTAATTTAATGCTTTATGACACAGTGTGGTATTTTCTGGTGGTGGGGCTATGCGGGGATATATACGTGGATTATAATGAGTATTAAATGGTGATGGATGTAAACTTGACTTGGTGTGGTCAAGACACAATGTAGTTTTCAGATAATGTGTTGTATTATTTTTCTACCTGTAGCCTGTGTAATTTTGTTAACCAGTATCTCCCAAATGCATTCAATAAAAATAAATGATCCTATTGAAAAAATTCCAGAGTATACCTAACTATGAGAAAGCTAGCCATATATGAATAATATTAAGGTACTTGTCACTAATTATTCATACTTAAACTCCAAAGAAGATAAATATACTAGGAATATTAGACTTGCAAAATTCTTATTCTTACCAAGGAGACTTTCTGACTGTATCTGCATTTCCCTTGTTAACATTCGTCTTTCAATAGAATCTTTCAAGTGTTCTATATCTGTCTCTATAGAAATAAACATGTATTAATACACTTTGCATAGTAACTCTAACATATAAGTATATGTATGTATATGTATGTATATAGTACCATCTTCATTTGCCTTGTTATTAATAAATAGTCATTATAATGAAATGTCTAGATTGCAGAAATCACTAAACCGTAGAATTGGAAGGGCACTAATAATATTTAAACCTCCATATAGTGAGGCTTAGAGATATTAATGATTTCACCAGGCGTTTTTATCCAGACAATAACAAAATTGATATACAATCTTAAATTTCATAGTTTTTTCACCAGTACTTTTCCTATATAATGTTTATATGCACCAGTTCTATTCCTCTTATGCTAAATTAAATATCCTGAAGAGTTTATGCTAATATAACCTTCAAATTTCCATTAAAAATAATCATCATACTGTAGAATACCTAGTGATGTGGAAACATAACTCCCCTGCCCCAAAGATTATATTGCACACCATGGAATCCACTGGGTGCTGGTGCCATTTTGGGACTCAGTCCATCAGGGCTTCCAGATGACCTAATAAAGTCATAATTCTTTATCCCTTTCAGCCTTATGTGTTGCTCCTTCAGTGGCCCTAACACAATACTATGTTGAATAAGAGTGGTGAAAGCAGGCATCCTTATCTTGTTCCTTTTCTGAAGGGAAACATTTTTAGTTTTTGCCCATTGGGCATTTTGTTGGGTGTAGGTTTGTCATATATGGCCTTTATCATGTTAAGGTATGATCCTTCTATTCCCACTTTACTGAGAGCTTTTATTAAAAAAAAAAAGGGTTTTAGATTTTGTCAAATGCTTTGTCTATATCAATTGATATAATCATGTGTTTTTTATCTATCAGTTTGTTTATGTGATATATCACATTTATTGATTTGCAAATATTATACCAGTCTTTCATCCCCAGAATAAATCCCACTTGATCATGGTATGTGACCTTTTTAATATATTGTTGGATCTGATTTGCCAAAATTTTGTTGAGGATTTCAGCATCTGTGTTCATCAGGGATATTGGACTATAATTATCTTTTTTTTGGTAGTGGATTTATATGGTTTTGGAATTAAGATAATGATAGCTTTGTTAAAAGAGCTTAGAAGTGTTCTTTCCTCTTGAATTTTCTGAAGTAGTTTGAAGATGATAGGTGTTAGTTCTCCTTTGAATGGTCTGTAAAACTCACCTGTAAATCCATCTGATCAAAGAACTTTTGTTTGCTAGAAGTTTTTAAATTACTGCTTCAGTTTCATCAGATGGGAATCACATTGCCGGCTGGCTTCCTCCAGATTTGTGCCATAACATAACCTCTAATGCTGAGGTCTAAAAGCAATGGAATGGTATTATACTGTACATCTGATGACCCCAAGATACGTATGGGTGTGTGGAAGGTACAGCTAACGCTACCTCCTAGTACATTGGATGGGACAGTATACCTGGAGTAATCCTTATATCCCTGGGGAAATCCTTAAGGATTTAAAAGAGATTCCCCATAACTGGGACTCAATATACCACCATTGCCATTGAGTTAAATGAGCTCCCTGGTGGTTTTACCCATTAGTTGTATTCCTTCCTGCAGGAGGAGCAATTAAGGTAGAATTAGAAGCAATAGCTTTACTGAAGCATACAGTTAAAGCCTTGAATCAGACCCATAAGCCCTTACCCTACTGATAGATGAAGCCAAGCAAATGTTCAAAGTGGTACTGCAAAATAGAATTGCACTAGATCTATTAACTGCCACTTAAGAGGCACTTGTGCTGTCCTATATGTAGAATTTGATACATATGTGCCTGATAATCAACAAAATGTAACCAGTGCCCTGCAAGAGATAGTCAGGGAAGCATAAGTCATACTAGCCCTCTTCCGGGATACCCTCTGAGATTGGCGGGATATACTGTCAGAAGCATGACGCTGGGCATTCTTGAGTTTTGCTATTAGGGCCAAAGTACTGGTCATAACATGTTGCAGTTTGTACTGTTATTGTGGACTCTGTGTTCAAGGAGCTGGCATCTGGGTACCCTGTAGAAATCATTCAACATAAGGGGTGGAGTGTGGAGGCCCTGATCAGCGTATCCTGGATAGTAAAGGCCCATTAGCCACATGCATGTGCAAGGGCACTGACACAGCAGTATCACTATGTTAAAGGCCCATTCACCATCGGAATGCAAGAAGGCCATGACTCAGCAGTATCATTATGCAGGTGCACCCTTATATAGTCTACTTATATTAACATAGCAAAGATGCCACTAATTGGCATGAGGCCTCTTTAATTTGAGCGAGTATACAAGATGCTACTGACCAGCCAGTTGTTGGCTGCTTTGATTGCAATAAATCATGACCCATCTCTTTGGCTGCTTGTATCTTTTTCCAATTCCAAGCATTCAAAGAGGTCAAGTCCTTGGTTGAGGACCTCAGACCCAATAGTTAGACATAATCTATTGGGCATACTGAAGTATAATGTGTCTCTATTATGTTTTATGTTACATCTGAAGATAAGTTAGATTGTGTTTTCTGTTTTGCACCTTGTGTCAGAGATAAAAACTTTTTTTTGTCCCCTGTTTTTTGGCTCTTCTTGAAAATCCTTCTTAAATAAAAGCTGAGAATTGCACAGTGTTTTTCTAACTCCTTGTTTTTACCCAGGAACATTGCTGGTGTGGTGGTTAGGTGTGAAAAGAAAAACAATCAATTATGTTATGTTTATGTCTCAGTTTTTTATTTGTTTGTTTGTTTGTTTGTTTAAAGTATTACAAATAGCAGTACATGTGTTTCCTTTTCCATCCATTGATTTCCCCGGCCTCCCCTACCAATCTTTGGCACATGCCCTCCCCCTGCACACACCCCCCCCCCCAATGTCTGTATCCATTGGTTATGCTTATATTCATGCATGCAAGTCTTTCGGTTGATCTCTTATCCCACACACAACCTTCCCCTGCAGTTTGACAGTCTGTTCAATGCTTCTTTGTCTCTGTATCTATTTGTGTTCATTAGTTTATGATGTTCATTATATTCCATAAATGAGTGAGATCATGTGATATTTATCTTTCCCTGACTAGCTTATTTTGCTTAGCATAATGCTCTCCAGTTCCATACAGGCTGCTGCAAATGGTGTATAAGTCTTTCACCTTTATGTCTCAGGTTTTTTTTTTAGTGACTTGTTTTCCTGGGCTTAGACTTTAACAATTGCTTCTCAGTTCACTCCCTCTCTCCCAATTGAGTGAGACATGAAGGATAAAGGGAGTTAGACTTAGATGTCTCCTTTCCCCAATGCTGAAAGCTGAAGAAACTAAAGTTTGGAATTTCCCTCATCCAATATCAGTAAAGTAGTTTTCCTTAAAGGTAGGCCTTTGTTAAAAATTATAATAATGTTTATAAGTTTCTCTATATTAAAGAAAAATATTTTACTATTAAATCACTTAAAGTATATTGCATTTTAAAAGATACAAATTTCAAATAATTTTATGAAAAACATTATATTGAATTATATATATTTTTCTTTATTCAACTAATATGGTAAATTTCTCATATGATTCTTTTTATTTCTGTAAAAATGATAGTAATGTCTCTATTCTGATTATAGTAATTTGTGTCTTTTTTTTTTCCTTATCAACCTAGCTAAAATTTTGTCAATTTTGTTGAGCTACTGTGAGTCACAGCACACAATGGATATTTTTTTAATCCATTCTGCTAATCTCTGCCTTTTGTTTGGAGAGTTAATCCATTTATGTTTAAAGTAAATACTGATAAAGAAGAATTATTTTTGTGCATTTTGTTAGTTATGTTATCTATTTCTTATACATTTTTGTGCTTCATTTCCTCTAATACTGTATTATTTTGTGTTCAGTTGAATTTTTAAGGGACCTCTTTTGTTTTCTTTCTCATTTCCTTTGTGTATATTCTATAGATATTTTCTTTTTGGTTACCAAGGGGTTACATATAACATCTTAAAGTTATAACATTCTAATTTAAATTGATATCAATTTTACTTCAATCACATCCAAAATCTGTACTCCTATACAGTTCCATTCAACTATTTTTTTTTATTGTTAACACTATTAGATATGCCCTATTTCCATATCCCTTTGCCAACCTTCACTGCCATCCTGTTCCCTCTGGCTATTACTAGTACAATACTAAAATCTGTATCTATGGGTTATGCACATATGTCCCCTGGCTAATCCCTTCACCTTCTTTCATCTAGTCCTCCATTCCCCTTACCCCTGATAGCTATAAATCTGTTCCATTTATGAATGCCTCTGTTTATATTTTGTTCTTCAGTATATTTTTTCAATAGATTCTACACATAAAATTATACCAAACATTGAAAGAACTAACATTGATCCTCTCAAACTATTAAAAAACTCAAAAGAAGGAAAAACCCCCAAGACCAGTTTGATGCCAGCATTATGGTTATTCCAAAACCAGACAATGACACTACAAAGAAAGGAAATTATAGGTCAATATACCTGTGAACATAGAGGTTAAAATCCATCCCTCTTTTTTTGATATTGATGTCACAATTCACATGTTTATACATTCTGTGCTAAATAACATGTAATGAACCTATAACAGTCATATTTTAGTGCAAAAGGGTAAAATTTAAAAGCTATTAAGACTACATTATAAAATTTCCAAAAGCATCCTAATATTTAAATAAAAAAGGGGGGATAGTAGAAGAATATCATGTAAGGACAAATATCCTGTAAGTAAATTACATCTAGAAAATTTTTACTTTAGAAAATTAACTTTCATTTGTAAGGCTAACAGCAAGACACCCATGTAAAACATACATGGTGTAAAAACAAGCCAAAGGAAAATCATTTGGGCAAAATATGATCGCAAATCAAATTTATAGAAGATATTCCTTTATTAACTTTTGGTCGAGAATATGTTTGAATATTTTCAGAAAACAACTCCAGGACCATGTGGATTCCTGTAACAAAGATGAGTTGACAGGACTGCTCCAGCCATAAAGACAGTAGAGAAACAGTCCAGAGATGGAAGACGCTGATGATGCCTTGCCATACTAGTATACAGCAGCTGTGTGTTGCTGAAGGACCAAACCAGAGAGGATCAGACTTGCATTACCACCATTTGTCCACCATCCAGAACTGAAGTATCATTGCTGACATGTACACATAAGGAACTGTTTGACATAAAATTGGGATTCAAAAAAACTGTTGGCCCAGAAAGAAACTCACAACAGACTGATTGATTCATTTGCCTCTCAGCATAATCATTATTGCTTGTCTCATTTTCGGTTCTTGTAAGTGTATTTCTAGTATCACAAGAGCTCACTCATCTAGGGGAAATGATGAACAACATAGACTGATGAAAAAGAACAGACCTGAAGACAGGGAAGCATCGATCAGACTGTTGGACCTCAAAGGGAAGGTAAAGGAGTATGGGGCTAAGGGGGAGAGATCAACCAAAGGACTTGTGTGCATGCATTTGAGCCTAACCAATGGTCACAGACAACAAAGGGGTGGGGGCATGCATGGGGAAAAGTTGGGGATGTGAATGGAGGGATGAGGACAAATATGTGATACCATAATCAATAAATAAATTTTAAAAAGTAAAAAAAAAGAAAGGTTCAATAAATAAATAAATAAATTTCAAGTGGATAAATAACTTAAATATAAGAAATCATAAACATCTTAGAGAAATCCACAGGAAGCAAAATATCAGACATATATCATAGCAACATCTTTATGAATCCAGCTCGTAAGAAAATGGAAACTAAGGAGAAAATAAACAAATAGGACTACATCAAAATAAAAAAGCTTCTGCACAGCAAAATAAACCATCAACAAAACAATAAGAAAGCGCATTGTATGGGAGAACGTATGTGCCATTGTTATATTCGATAAGGGCCTAATCTCCAAAATTTATAGGGAACTCATTCAACTTAACAAAAGGACCATAAATCCAATATAAAAAAAATGGGCATAGGACCTAAATAGACATTTTTTGAAAGTGGACATGCAGAAGGCCAAGAGACATGAAAATATGCTCAAAGTTACTAATCATCGGAGAGATGTAAATCAAAACGACAATGAGGTACCATCTCACACCTGTCAGAATGGCTCTCATCAACAAATCAATTGAAACTTTCCTTGGTGTTTTTTATTGCAGCTCTATCACTCATCATTTCTTCTTGATTCTTACATAAGTTGTTGATTTGTTTCCTCCATCTGGTTTATGGACTGTATGACCCTTTATTCTGATTTCTTTTTCTGCCATTGTTTGCCTCTGTTTCACTTTGCTGCTTTTCTAGTGATTCTCTTCTTTCCTTTGGGGCTTTCTTTGTCTACCAATTCTGATCTAGATGGTGAGTCATGCAGGGACTGGTCCTTGGGTGGCAGTGGCTCCTCAGGCTACAGTTACTCCTCAGGTGGTTGCTGAAGTGGCTGCTCCTCAGTTGGCAGAGGCTCCTCTGGTGGATTGCAACAGTGGTGTCTCACACAGCTGCTGTTCCTTGGAAGGGAATGGGCTGCTCACGTGGCTGCTGCTCTTTGGATCGGGGCTGGCTGCATGCTGCTGCTATTCCTCAGATGGAGTGGGTTGGTGGTGAGACTGCTGCTTCTTGGACAGGGGCAGGTTGCTTGCCGGACTAGTGCTCCTTGTATGGGTGCCTGCTCCTCACACAGCTGCTGCTCCTCTCAGATGGGGGATGAGCTGCTTGTGCGGCTCCTGCTCCTCAGGTGGGAGTGAGCTGCACATGTGGCTACTGCTCCTTGGATGGGGGCGGGCCACTCACCCAGCTACTGCTCCTCAGACAGGTTCCGGCTGCTGCTCCTCAGACAAGCACAGGTTGTGCAGGCCTGCCACTCCTCAGTCCTGGGGTCTGCTCTGGTAGCTGCTGCTCCTCAGATGGGGCGGGCTGTTTGTGTCACTGCTGCTCCTCGAACAGGGGAGCGGGCCACATATACAGCTGCTTCTCCTGAGACAGGAGTGGGCTGCTCACATGTCTGCTTCTCACATGGTTGCAGTGACCTGGGCTTTTTCCAGGGATCCTAGGCCCTTCCTGGCTGAAAAATGTCTCGCCCACTAAGTTTCCTTAACCAATTCAGGTTGGATGTTATCCGTTTCAGCTGTTCATTCTATAGGCTCCAGGATAAGGCTTGGGTCATGTCTGTCTATTCCGCCACCATGTTGTCTCCCGTACTACCCACAGACAGGTCTGGAACACATAATCAGCAGCTGGGCTCACCATTGCACTGGATCCCCAGTTGTTAATTGGAAATGGACAGAGCACCTAGGTCATTGGGATCTGGTAGAGATGGGTCTTATCTAGGATGGGGAAGTTCAGATGTCCTAGGTAGTGAGCATTTCTGTATGTTGCAGTATACCAGCAGTCCTCCTCAGACTTTCTCCTCCTTCTAATCTCCTCTCCCAACCTCACCAACAGGTATAGCAAAAGGCCATCTTCAGTTAATTTCGGTTGTCGTTAATACCAGATTTTTGGACTGGAACAGGCAGTATTCCCCTGGACAAGGTGATTCCCTGGATTCTTTGTCCGTAAAAGTCAAAGAATGAATCCAGGCCAAAAGATGGAGATGGTTTAGCAAAGGTGGGGATTTATTGAAGAGCAAGTACAGACTCCCACATGGTAAAGGGGAAAGAATCTCACAGCACAGACTACCACATGGGGATGGGGACAGAGTAGTATGTTTTTAAAAAGTTAGCTATTTCTTCCAGATTATTGAAATTTTAGGCATATAATTGTTCATGGTATCCTTTAATAGTTCTTTATATTTCTGTAGTGTCAGCTATATCTTCTCTGGTTTTATTTATTATTTTATTTATTTGTTCTCTCTTTTTCTCTTGGTTCCTTTATCTTTATTTATTTTCTATCTTTGATAGGGTTTGGTTTGTGGTTATCATAAGGTTTACATATATCATTTTGATCTGTAGCAATATATTTTAAGATGAGAAGAGTTTAAGTTTGAATAAATTCTAAAAGAACTACATTTTACCCCCCTGCATGCTTTATATTTATAATGTCATATTTTAGATATTTTTTGTTTTGTGTATATTCTAATTATGATAGTTTGAATTAAGTTGGTCTGCCCTATATTCAAATTTCTTGGTTTCTTTTAGAAAGAGAACTATACATTTGAAGTACTTTAACTTTTAGACAGTGTTCTACTATGCCAAAACATTAGGTCTACTTACCTGCAACTTTGTTTAAATCTAATTGAACAATTAGGTCACTTATTGATGGGTGTATTGCTGGAAGATTTTCTGCTACTTCTGGAAGTTTTGAGGCTGCTTCATTGTTAACTGGAATAATAATAGATTTCCATATTGATTTATAATTAACATTTTGTTTGAAATAAAATCCATTTATATTTAATTAATTAGAGATATTTTACCTTTAAAAAAAAAACAAGCATTTATATCTATTCACTCTCTTATGGTATCTGCCAAGTTTATGAACCTGGGGTTGTAAACTACAGACAGTAACAGAGTCTCATTTGGATAGGAAACATTGCTTAAAATTTAAAAATGGAATGTATTTGTGGCTTAGAGAGTGAATAGGATTTTTATAGATAGAACAAAGTATGATATGGGAGGTTGGGAGGTAAATGGGTAAAAATAAAACTTCAATTTGTATACAGTAACAAAACAAACATTACTCAACTATAATTTGGAATAATTTTTGAAGGTTTTGTTGGTTTCTAAAGTTGAAATGACTGACATGCATAAACAAATCGAAAAATGTGTTTAAAAATATTTATCTATTAAATTGATTGGGTTGGCACTGGTCAATATGAACATATAGGTTTTATGTGTGGGATTCTGTATTATAAGATCTGTATATTTTAATGGAAGGGCCAATTATGTCTTTTCTTTCTCTCTCCCCCTGTCTCCAATACAGACAGGCACATATACACACATACTCAGCTATACATACAAATGTGCACAAATACACTTTCACACATGTACACACATACACACTGTTTTTACCTTCAGCTTTAGTCAGCAGGATGAAACATAATTATGTTGATACAACTGTAGAGGGCCTCCTAAGAAGGTACATGGACATTCTTTAAATTGTCAGATGAGCCCGAGGCACTGGCAGTCTGTGTCCCGGTTACACCCCCCCAAGAGGGCTGGGGGTGTTATTCAGTTTCTGTCTTAACCTTTAACCAGGTGTCAACAGGGGCATGTCTAGATATGTAAATCCAGTAATGCTAGGGCCTAGTTAAGAATGCAAATAAGCTTCTTTGATCCTAAGTTTTGGTGTTACTTCCTGGTATTTTGGGGTATAAAAATAAACCTCCTGCTTGGCTCCTATGCTCCCTGCCTCTCCATCAGAGAGAATGGCCCCCATCTAGCTCCCAGCTTTATAAATCTATTTCTGCCTCTTGGTTTCTTTCTTTAATTTCTTAATCCCCAGCTTCTCCACTCAGAAACCTGACTGTTTCCTTTTCCGTGATGGAGATGAACGTGAAGAAACATGCCCCCGCATACACTGCCACAATAAATGAATTACTAGATCATAACTATCAAAAGATTCAAGAACCTACATTAGAATTATTATTTTCCCTCAGGCAGGCACTTATGGCCTCCTCAGGATCACAGAATCAATGGGGACTAAGGAATGAGCCATGGATGCCTTTTCAGATAGAATGGACAATAGATCATATCCAAGTGACTCCTTTTGTCTTTCTCAATGGCAGGAAAGGTCTTCTGTTGTCATCTGTTTTATTTATTTATTTTGATTGTTGAAAATATTACAAATGTCTTCCATATTCCCCCACTTTGCTGACTTCTACCTTGCTCCCACCCTATCCAGGACTTCACTTTAACTTATAATAATTTAAAGTTTATTTTAAACTTTTAAAATTAAATTTGAGTGGCAAATGTTAATAAGATTATATAGGTTTCAAGTATACAATTCTATGATACAACATATGTGTATTTCATTGTGTGCTCACCACCCAAAGTCAAATATTCTGTCACCATATATTTAATCCGCTTTATCTTTTACCATTCCCCACTCCTTTTCCCTCTTATAACCACCATACTGTTGTCTGTGTCTATGAGTTTTTGTTTTTCTTGTTTGTTCATTTGCTGCTTTCAGTTTTATTTAACCTTATTTATAATTTCACATACTAAAATTTAAACTTAATACAAATGTATAATAATTTTAAGCTTACTAAATAGTTATTATATACTAGGTAATATAATAAGGGCTTTTCAAATATTCACTCACTTAACCCTCATGAAGATTCTAGAAAGTAATTTATTCCCAGTTAGCAGATGTGGGAAATAGAGCACATAGAGATGATGAATATTTTAAAGTTCACATAGTTATTAAGTGCACAATCTTAAAATGAATTTTGTGTTTTAAATGCCAAAACCTATTCTCAAACTAGTAAACTCAAGATTACTGAGATTAATCAGGTAATGTGAGTGAAATAAATGTGATGGTACTTAGAGAGGCATGAGTAGCAGAAGTGAAATGGACAGTATATCCTATCTAATAAAAAACAATATGCAAATTAACCATCACTTGGCCACACCCACTAGCCATGGCCACCCGCCAATCAGGAGCGAATGTGCAAATAAACCCAACCAAGATGGCTACTGCCACAGAGAGCAGGAGGGAGGCTTGGGTTTCCCTGGGAGTGGAGAAAGCCAAGCTTTCCACCTGCCCTTGCTAGCCTAGGCCTCCACTCAAGGCTACAAAGTTTCAATGATAGAAGATACATAAATCCAAACAGAAATGGTGGCAGCTATGGAACTGGAAGGAGAAGGAGGCTAGAGTTGCCCCTGGCAATGGAGGAAGACAAGCTTTTCACAAACCCTGGCAGCCCAGTTCTCTGCTTAAGGCTATGGAGTTTCAGTTATAGAAGATACATAAGTCCCAACAGAGTTGGCTACCGCCATGGAGCAGCAGAAGGCTTGGCTCTGCTCCAGGCTACAAAATTTCAATTGTAGAAGATAAAGAAACCCCAGATACCAGGACCTCCTTTTGGGTTGCCAGGGGGCATGTCTGGCCTGCAAACCACCACAGGCTACTTTCCCAGGCTGCCCCACACCCCAAGGGAACCCCTGATTCAGGAAACCCTTCAGGGAAAACCAGCTGGCCCCCACCCATGCACCAGACCTCTATCCTATCTAATAAAAGAGTAATATGCAGATTGACCATCACTCCAACACACAATATGGCTGTCCCTATGTGGTCAAAGATCCTGCCCCCATATGGACACAAGATGGCCACCACAAGATGAGAGGAACCAAGCCTGCAAAGGAGGGCAGTTAGGGGTGATCAAGCCTGCAGGGCAGAACAGTTGGGAGGGACCCAGGCCTGCAGGGGAGAGCAGTTGGGGGGGACCAGACCTGCAGGGGAGGGCAGTTATAGGTGACCAGGCCTGCGGTGGGGAGGGGGAACAGCTAGGGGGAAAAAGGCTGACAGGGGAGAAATTAAGCATCAATCAGACTGGCAGGGAAGTGTTTAAGGGGTGATCAGGCTGGCAAGCAGAAGCAGTTAGAGGCAATTAAGAAGGCAAGGAGGCGAGCATTTGGGAGCCAGCAGTCCTGGATTGTGAGAGGGATGTCTGACTGCCTGGGCAGTGGGACATCCCTCGTGAGGTCCCAGATTGGAGAGGGTGCAGGCTGGGCTGAGGGATACTCACCCCCATGCATGAATTTCATGCACCAGGCCCAGTGGATGAAATTTATATTTTTATATAAATACTAGAGACCTGGTGCATGAAATTCATGCATAGGTGGGGTCCCTATGCCTGGCCTGTGATCAAGGCCGATTGGGGCCTTCTGGCTGCCAGCTGGGCCTGCTGTATGGGGGAGGGATCAGGGGAGGTTGGCAGGCCGCAAGAGGTTGTCTGGGGGAGCACACTGACTACCAAGTGGCAGCTCCCGAGTTAAACGTCTGCCCTGTGATGGTCAGTGCATGTCATAGCGCTCAGTTGTTCTGGTCGTTCCTGTCATTACAGTGTCCTAGTTGCTTAGGCTTTTATATATACAGAAATATATTTGGACCGGTGCATGAAATTTGTGCATGAGAGTGGGGTGTGTCCCTCAAACCAGCCTGCACCCTCTCCAATCTGGAACCCCTCAAGAGATATCCAACTGCCCGTTTAGACCCAATACCTCTTACAATCCTGGACTTCTGGCTCCCAACTGCTTGCCTTCCTGCCTTCCTGATTGACCCTAACTGCTTCTGCCTGCCAGCCTGATCACCCCCTAATCACTCCCATGCCAGCCTAATTGATGTCTAACTGCTCCCTTACCAGCAAGTTTGCCAGGGAATAAGATGAAAATTAACCAACACTCTGCTACACCCACCAGGCATGCCCACCAGCCATGCCCACCAGCCAATCAGAGTGAATATGCAAATAAATCCAACCAAGATAGCCACAGAGAGCAGAGGGAGTCTTGGGTTTCCCAGGCAACTGCGGAAGCCAGGCTTTCCACCTGCCCTTGCTGGCCTAATATTCACAAGTCATCTAAATTTTCAAGAGAAATTAGAAATGTAGATATTTACAAGGATTTTCAAGACTTTTAAATATTTTCAAGTAATTTAAAAGTATTAAGAATGTTTATAGGATAAAACAAATTATTATCTACTGTCACTTAAGAATTACCTAACTTTAGAAAAAGATTAACTCCATTTAACACATAAGTGAGATTTCAGAAGCAATTACTAGATTATATTTCTTTGCAAAGCATTATCACTTATCCACCAATAAATATATCTATTTCCTAGAAACAGAAAAGTAAGTTTTTAAATCTGGATGAAATTGTTACTTTCAAAAGAAAATAACAGTAAACAAAATATGTCAGAGAAAATAAAAATAATAATGAAAATTTTCACCTTTTATCCCCTGAATGCCCTTTACCATCTCCATCCATCCCCTCCACCTCTGCAATCACTTACACTGTTGTTCATGTCCAGGAGAACTCTCTCCTTTTTTGCTCAATCCCCCCACTCTGCAATACCGTCCTCTCTGGATTTTTCTGTCTGTCTTCTATTCATGAGTCTGTCTCTATTTTGCTGTTTAGTTCAGTTTGTTCTTTAAATTCTACATATGAGTGAAATTATATGGTACTAGCCTTTCTTTGACTAGCATGATGTTCTCCATCCCTGCCATCCCAAAGTGTAAAATTTTCTTCCTTTTTATAGCACAGTAATATTCCTCTGTTATTGTATAAATTCCTTTATTATTGTGTAAATGTACTACAGTTTTTTTTTTAACCACTCATCTACTGATGGACACTTGGGCTGTTTCCAAATCTTGGTTATTGTGAAT